AATTCTTGCAAAGAATGTTATCAAAAAATTTGAGGATAATGTAATTTCTCTGAAGAATTTTATTATTTATAATGATAATAATTTAATTCTTGACATGAATTTTATTAAAATTTTGGGAAATAATTAAATTCTTCTCAGAATTTTATTACAATTTTCTAAAATAATTTTATTAATTTAAGGAATTTTATTAAAATATAGAAAATAATTGAATTCTTTCAAAAAATTTTATTAAAAATAAAGAAAAAATTGAATTGTTTCAAAGGATTTTTAAAAATTTTAGAAAATAATTGAATTCTTTTGAAAAATTTTATAAGAAATTAAGAAAAAAATTGCATTATTTTGTGAAATTTTATTGAAAATTATTGAATTTCTGCAAAGATTTTACTATTTAAAAAAATAATTGAATTGTGAAAGATTTATTAAAATTTTTAAAAATAATTGAATTAACTCGTGAAATTTTATTAAAAATTTAAAAAAAAATTAATTCTTTCATGAAATATTTTTAAAATTGGATTGAAAGAATTGAAAATTATTGAATTCTTGTGAAGAATTATATCAAAAAATTTGAGAATAATTGAATTTCTCCGAAGAATTTCATTATTTATGATGATAATAATTGAATTCTTGACAAGAATTTTATTAAAATTTTTAGAAAAAAATTAAATTCTTCTCAGAATTTTTTTTAGAATTTTCTAAAATAATTTAATTAATTTAAGGAATTTTATTAAAATATAGAAAATAATTGAATTTATTTTAGTTATTTTAATAGTTATTTTACTAGTTATTTTAAGAAAATAAAAAAATATATATTTTGTTGAGAATTAGTTTTTTTTAATTTACAAAAATTAATTTTGTAATGAAATGAAAATTTCACTGTAGTATTAAACAGTTTTTTGAAATCATTTAAATATTTGAAACTTCAAGGGCATGTTTTATGACATTAAGAGTGGATTTTCCATTTTTCTATTCTCTTTAATGAAAGAAGAAAGTAACTGAATTTAAAAAAACATAGTAAAAACAACTTTAATCACGCTGATGGGAAAATAATGAAAGGCAAAGTGAAAAACAATAGAAAGCCTTTTAGTTCCTCTTTCTGTTGTGACTTTTGTTATAAAACTTTGCGCTAAACTTTACTATAGAATCTACCATTCGTGAATCTGTAAAAGCTAAAAAAAAGTCATTTTTGTATATAAAAAGTTTCTATTGAATGTCTATAAAAACAAACCAGAATAGTGACAAATGAAATTTATATCGAGAAAAGTATTTTTATATTCCTATAAATAAATATTTATTTGATACTATTAATTTTAATTATACCTATATCTTTATTTTTGTATAATACTACATACAATTCATTTTTGTATAAAAAAATTATAATTATTTAATGAATTTTATTGATTTTAATTTTTTCTTTTTTTTGCTTCCTTTCACGAAAAGTCTTTTATTATTTTTCCTACGCTTAAATACCGTCATTATGATAATCTTGATAAAAATTGATTTATTGTAATTTTTCATAATAAAGGGGGAAGGGTGTAAACATCTTTAAAGAAAAGCAACACTTTCTTTTCTTTTCTTTCTTTTTTTTTGTAATAATGTTTTTAGCACGTTGGAAATTTAGATTTCCTATCATGAATAATTATATATTTAAATATATTTAAATTAACTTCACTCAATTTTCAATGTGTCGCTATTAAGGATAATAAAATGTTTACACCACACGTCAAAAATAATCAGATCTTTGTGTGCGGTTTGAGTTATGCAATAGTAAGCAAAAGTGACATTTTTTCTATATGAAAAACAATTTTTTATTGTTCATAAAATACATTTAATTTACATGAAAAAACGATTTTTTTTTCATCATGAAACACATTTATTTTATGATTTTCTTCATTCTTCATGTGTTGTATACTAATATTAATAACATTAAGATAATATAAATGCAGCTGCTTCGAAAATTTTAATATTCTCTAAATATTGTTTCATTTTTCAAAATAATAGAAAATTTTTTTAAATTTTTAAGTAATTAAAGTATTTACACGTATTTTTGTAAAACATATTAAATAATATTTAAAGATAATAATGAGCAAAATTCAAAATATTAATCTTGAAGAATGAAAATATTTATTAAAAAATAATTTTAATTTAAATATTGAACGTGATATTTTTGTGATTTCAATATTACAAAAAACAATTTATATTTTTGGAAATTATTTATTGTTCATTATTACTTGAATAAAATAATATTTATTTTTAATTAAATTCCTCTTTTACTCCTTTTTTTTAAGAACTTCCAAAAATTATTTATTTTTTTGAAATAGGAAATTTTTTCGTTATGTTGAAAAAAATATCTATTTTTTGCAAACTTTGGAAAAATTCTTTATTTTTTTCTTCTTGCTATATTTTAATGTAAATTTTTTTAATTTTTATAGACATTTTAATTTAATTTAATAATAAAAGTGCGTTTTTCTTTTCGTAAGCCCGTATAAATTGTTAAATAAATAATTAAATAAATATTAAAAGAAATTATTTGTTTTTATTTATTTTTTTATAATAATTCTAATTCTAATAATTTCCCTTCTTTTTGTTACAGGTGAGTTAAAAAACAAAAGTTTCCCGTCGAGTGTTTTTCGTAAGTAAATATATTTAGAATTTAGATTATTTTAAATATTTAGATATTTAAAATGAAAAATCTTGTCTATGAAAGGAAAATAATTATTTAATTTTTCTAAAAGTATTTACTTTCTTTCCATGTACTTAAATGGAAATTTTTTTACTTGAAAGGAAAATTTTTTACTGAAATGAGATATTTTTTTAATAATGAAATATCTTCTATTAAATAAAATCCTTTGTTCTAAATAAAAATAAAAATTTTTATACTGCAATAAATTAACTTGTTGGCTAAAATGAAAACTTTTTTTTTAAAATGGAAATTTTTTTATTAGAATGACAAATATTTGTTACTGAAACGAAAAATATTTTACTGCAATAAAACAATTTGTAGTGAAATGAAATTTTTTTTACTAGAATATAAATAATTTTATAATAAAATAGAATTTTTTTTTCTAAAATTACTAAATTTTTTTTATTAAACTTAAAATTAATGAAATTTACAGTAAATTATAATAGAAATCTTTATATGCGTTTAATATTTTTCCTAAATATTCGAAGTTACGATTTGTAATATTCGATAAATATCAGCAATTACTGGTTGCAGATTCGGTGTATATTTCTGGGTTTTCACTTACACAAAGGATTATGGGAGAAAAATTCCTATATCACTATTTCAATGATAGCCGTGCACTTTAAACATTTATGTGACAAAAAGGCTCTGTAATCAGATTCACGTTTTATGAATTTAAAACGATCCTTTTTTGTATCAAATGTCTTTGAATTTTCCAAAAGCAATAGTATTTTATTTGTCATAAGATATTTCTTTTTTTTTTAGTTATGTCAGTATTTTTCTGTGTTTTTTCTTCGTATAAAAAAAAAGCAATTTTTTCGATTTTCATACAGTGAAAGAAAACTATACAGTAAAATCTTTCAAAAATGATTTTTGAATAATTTTTTAGGATAATTAAATTTTATTAAAAATTTTTTTTGGAAAATAATTGAGTTTTATTAAAATTTAATTACAATTTTCAAAAATAATTGAATTTCTGACAAAGATTTTTATTATTAATGAAAATAATTGAATTCATGTAAAATAACATTTAAAAAAAATTTTTGAAATTAAAGAAACCTTTTCAACAAAATCAATTAATATTATTTTAAAAATAATTGAAATTATATGAGGAATATATATAGTAATGATGCTATCACTCGGTCGATAAATTATTAGGATGATGAAAAAAATCGATCTTTTTTTTTCATCGTCTTAATATATGAGGAATATTATAAAAATTTTTGAAAATAATTGAATTGTTCCGAAAGAATTTTATTAAAATTTTTGGAAACAATTAAATTCTTTTCAGGAATTCAATTAAAATTTTATGGGAAATTATTGAATTTTTATACATAATTTTATTACAATTTTCAATAATAATTGTATTTCTGACAAGAATTTTATAATTCATGAAAATAATTGAATTCTTGAAAAGAATTTTATTAAAATTATTGAAAATAATTAAATTCTTGAGAAGAATTTTATTAAACTAATTTTTAGAATTTTTTTTATCGTAATTATTAAAAATTCAATTATAAAATTTTTCTAAAAATACATATTTTTTTAGACTTATCATTAAAATTTTTGGTGAAATCATGCATTTTCTTGTTCGTGATTAAAATTCTGCATAAAATTTGTAATTCTTTTTTTTAGTGCTTATACAAAAATTCTAATAAAAAAATTTAATTATTTTTACCATATTTCAATTATTTGGAAATTTTTCATTTATGTATAATTAAAAAATGTATTATCTTTCAAAAATTATTTGAAAATATTAAAAAAAAACTAATTTTAAGAGTTTTATTATATTTTCAAACATATATTTATTTAAGAAAGTTATTGATGTTTTGAATAATGAAATTTAGAAATCAGTGAAATGAAGTAAACAATGAATTTTTTAGTACTTTGAATAAAATAAAAAACTTTTTTGTGTCTTCAAAACGATCTGTAGGCTTTGTTATAAAAAAGATATTTGAAAAAATCAACTTTTTTCCTGTTCGCTCACAAAATGTTTAATTAAATTTTCTTTAAAATTATACACACATATATATTTCCAAGCTGATATAATTTTAATTATTTTCTTTGTGTCATTTAAAATTTTAATTAAATATTAAACTATATACAGTCGTTTGATAAATTTCTCATTGAGTTGAGTTGCGAGGTGTATTTGAAGTTTAATTAATTTTGAATAATTTTAAATGTAAAAGTATTGAATTTTGTTTGAAATAAAGATTTTATTATTGTATAACCTTCAAATGACCGTGAATGCAGAACATTAATTTATAGTTTCTCGATATGTTTATCTACTTTTTTTCTTTACTTGAAAATAATTTTAGTGTGTCATGTGCAATAAGCTTATGACAAATTTCAAGTTTTTATTTTTACAACTTATTTTACATTTTGCACAAGCTGATATTTTTTGAATTTAGAAGCAAATTTATTCTTGAAGCAATCACACATCACGGTTAAAAGAAAAATTAAAAATGGTTAATTCGTGGATTCTGAAATTATTGGGTATCGTTCTCTTGTTCATTACGGGAATATTTAATTATTATAAGGAAAGTGTCGGCGAGGAAAAAAATGTGTCTACTAAGTACAGCGATGAAAATACAACGCCTCTTTTTACTATTAGTTCGGAAACAGTGCCCAAAGTACAAACAGTGTCTAACAAAAATCTAAGGCTGTATGAAAAGGTAAATTATTATAAATTAGTAAAATAAAATTATTTTTACAATCGTTGAGATTTATATATAATATTATAAGTAGAAGGAAAAAAATTTGTTTTTGAATATTTCAAACTTTAGTATTGATAAAAAATAAATTTTGTTAGCTTTAAGGAATAATACTAAAAATTTTAAATAATTGTATTCTTGTATTTAAAAAAATTAAGGAAAATGCATCATTGAATAACATTCAAACAAATCGAAAAAGTTTTTACGATAAAGATTTTATAGAATATTTGAATAAAACTAATAAAAACTTTGGAACAAAAAATTTACAATTCATAAGTTATTTGAAATCAGTTATTCTATATTTTGAAGGGATTAATCAAAATGATAACTGCTATGCAATTTCGAACATCGATGATTTTCAAATTCATGAATCGAATTTGATGAAAATAATTAATTTCATCGTAGAAAATGCAATTAATTTTCATTTTTATTATAATGGTTATAATTTTACCATTTCGGACGAGTCAAAAAAGATAAATGAAGAAAAGTTGAAATTAATGACATCAAAATGTGAATTACCATCTAAAGAAAATGGAGAAATATTTTTAGCACTCTCGATGTTTTTTAAAACATATTTCAAATATTTCTTTGCAATGCATATAAATCCTAATTACGATGACTGCTATTTTGATAGTCTTCTGAGTTTCGAAAAAATAAAAATATTAATTTCTCATTTCGATTTTAAAAACGCTAACAGCAGCAGCAGACTTTCAATGTACTATGATATAATATCAACATTGGAACGGTTGAAATTGTGTATTATGTCACGGGTAATTTTACAAATTATTAAAAGAATTTAATTAACATTTAATTAGCATTTAATTTATAACTTGAAATATTTATTCTTGCAGCCAAATGTGTCTTTATTGAAAAACGATTCAGTTTTAGAAAAAGTCGTTATCTCGAATTTTCAAGTTGACCCCGAATTCGTCATTGATAAACTTAATAAAAAACATGAATTATTTATGAGTAATTTGGAGATTGTTATTAATTATTTTAAAACAGTTTTGAATCTTAATGATTGCAAAGAAATCCAAATGCATAATAAACCAAAAATTAATAAATCCAATTTTGGGAAAATAGTTGAATTGCTTACTATGACAGCAATGGAAAATTATTATTTACATAAAAACTATCATTTCTATTCTAGGAGATTTTATGGGAATAGAAGTGAAGAAATGAAAAAATTAATATCGTCAGAGTGTGAACCAAATTTGAATAGAAATAAAGCAACATTCGCAAAACTCTATGAATTTTTCAGTTTTTTAAAAGAATATTCAAAGAATTTTGTTGACAATAAGTGCTATTTGAAGAATATTTTGGAATTGAATTTAATAGATGATAAAATTGGTGATTTTTTATTTAAAAAAAATAACTTTACCAGAAAGTCATTAATTAACAATATAGAAAAAGGAATAGAAAATGTAAAACATTGTTCTAAATTATAAGTAGTTTAGTGACTATTCAAAGCACATTATTCTTCGTAATATATTAATTATTAAAATAATCGCTTACCTTAAGGATATTTGAACCATTATGACGTTACAGTTTTAAAATGCACGCTTTGCACAAATTGTGACGTTATAATGGTTCAAATTTCCTTAAATAAAAAATGTAAATTTCTTCCAAAGGACCCCGAAGGAAATACATTAGTTTTAAGTCAAAGTTGATTTTTCTATAAGTTTTTTTGAATTTAATCATTTTCTTCAGACTGAATGAAAACTTAAAATTCAAAATTTATAAAAAAAATCGACTGGGTTCCAAAACTAATGTATTTCCTGCTAGGTCCTTCAGTTCTTTATTTAAATTTAAAAGAAAAATAGATTTTATTAATTGCGATGGTGAAGAATTAAAATAATTATATAGACGCAGTTGTACTATAACATTTTAGAATATCTATTCTTAATGTCAAACTATGACAGAAAAATTACTCAATTTTTATGTACATTTTTCTGTCATATCAAATTGTCACGATTTTGTTTTTTGCCTTTTCGTTTCGATAGAATTAAGTAAATAATGCGCAATTGTAAAAAAACAATCAATATGTAAAATTAATTGTTACAAAAAAATAAAAAGATTTGTCTTAAAAATCTATAAATTTTGATTTTAAATTTTATGCCCTGGAATAAAAGTCTGAAAATTTCTCTAATTAATATTGGTCTGAATTAAACGAATTTTGAAAAAATATTTCTATTCGGTTTACTTTATTTTACCTGTAAATTAAAATAAGGAAACAATTAATTTCCCTATTAGGTAAATAAAAAATATTTTCCATTCAATTGCAAATATTTTAAAGCAATTAAAATATTTATCTTTGTATTTTTTTTCAAAACGTCTTTTTATTAATTTCACTGAAAATTTCGTTACAGATTGACACGAAGTTGATAAAAAAAAATATTTATGTAAACATATAAATTGTTTTGCTTTGTGCAAGATTTTCATTGGCTGTGAATTGCATTAGAATTTTTATTATCTATATAAATGTGCGTCAAATATTTGTTTCTAATCATATTCTATTTAACTCGCTATGTAGTGTAATTGGAAGAAAGTTTAATTTTATTTTTAATTTTATATCATAGTTAGAGAGGAAGTAAAAAAAATTATTGTTGCAAAAATTATCTTTATAAATAACAAAATTCTTCTTCTTCTACTATTTTAATAAAATTTCCAAAAAGAATTCAATTATTTAAAAAAAATTTTAATAAAATTTTATGCAAACATTTAATTATTTTCATAAATATTAAAAATAATTTCAATTTGACAAAACATAATATTTAATTATTTAATTTAATTTAATTTTTTATTTTTAAATATCAACTTCAATTTTTGAATAATTTCAAATACAAAATTTTAAAAAATTAAACTCTCATAAAATTCTTCGTACGAGATTCAATTATTTTCAATAAAATTTTAATAAAATTCTATATAAGAATAAAATTATTTTCTATATAATTTTAATTAAATTTGTCGACAAAATTTTCATAAATCGGACGGTTTGCCCCACTTTCTCATAAATAGAATATTTTTTTTATAAATATAAATCAGTAAATATTTTTTTCCGTAATATTTTATCATAATTTTATCGAATAATAAAAAAGGTTTAATAATTTTTTGACCAGTTGTTACTTATTTCCAATTACTTCATTAATTTAAAAAAAATTAATTTCAAATGTTTTATAATAATTTATAATTAATAATTTATTTACAAATATTTTAAATACATAAATACATATCTCTGAGTAGCTTTTATTTTCAAGCGACTTAATTTCAAAATTTATCAACGTTTACGAAACTAAAAAACATGAAATCTAAATAAAAAATAATTTCGTTTATAACTGAGAGATTAAAATTTTTTTATTTTGTGAATTTAAAATTGTTTTTGAATTTTTTATCTTTTGCTTTTACTGCACCAGCGCATTTTTAATAATTTCATACTTTACTTAATTATTAAATGCAAATTTTTTTTGTCTACATTTTTGATAGCAAAGAATATTTTATTTTTAAATGTTTACAACTTCGTCTTTTTTTCTTGTGGCCTAAGTTTTTTTTTTCTTTTTTTGTATTTATACAGTAGTAGGAGTAGTAAAATTTACTCTGGAGATAATAATATTTAAGAATATATTTTCAAGTTTCAAAAGATTAAAATTTTTTCAAAGTTTACAAAAAGTAGAAATTTTTTTTTTATTTAACATAATTTAAAATTTTTTTAACTTACAAAAAGAAAATTACAATTTTTGGTAGATATTTGTTTAAAAATAGGGGGAAAATAGGGAAAAAATATATTGAAAAAGTGTTTCGTTCATTTGAACATTCAACTTTTTTTTAATACAAACTTTTAACATTTAACTTCTTTATAATAATAATTAATGAAAAATGTTCAAATAAAAAATCTGAAATATAAAATTTTATATATTTTTTTCAGTCAAAATATTTGAAAGTTAAAAAAGAAACGTTACTGTAAACTTAATATAAAAAATAATTGATGAAAAACGTGCAAAAGTATTTGAGAAAATACTTTTTAATTCTGAAAAATTAAAATAATTAGTAATTTCAATAAATTTCATTAAAAAAAATTTAATTCTCAAACCTTTTTTTTTAATTTTTCAAAAAAGATACATACTTATAGAATTTTGAGAATAATAATAATGCAGATTTTCTTTTCTTCATAAAAAAAATACAGATGTACATTCAGGAATATAATTTTGTTCAGTGAATCTTCAAAAGCATTTTTATTATAAAAGATTCATTTATTTGAATGATGCATTCAGAATTTTAACAAGTTTTTTCATTTGAAAAAAAATGTAAATAAAAATGATAGTCATATTTTGAATGAAATTTGTTCAGTTTCTTTTTTTTTTTTTTTTTGCTTTTCAATGAAAAAATTGTGAAAAAGAAAGTTTTAAAATACTTTTCTGTATCGTATTTCGACTTGAAATACACATTTTCTTAACTAATAGTAAATTCTCTGTCTACTTTGTAAATATGGCATTTACATTTAATTTTAAAATGAGAGTGGAAACGGCTTGAAATGAGACGAACAAGCATTTCAACGAGTCTAAATGGAACTCCTTTTACGACGCGTAAAGTGCATTTACATTCTGACAAATAAAACAGTCAAAACTCCCCATAGAATTAGAAAAAAGTGAAAAGAAACAAGAGTTAAAGTTTGTTGATATAGTGGAGAGAGAGAGAGAAAAAACAAAAATTAAAAAAATGGAAAATTATCGTTTGATAATTTATTCGAAAAATTAGATTTCAATGAAAAAGTTAAAAAAATGAAAGAGATTTTAATTCCATTTTTCTCGAAGAGAATTTTGTAACGATTAAAATCTTCATGTTGTATTTATTTTTTAAATTTAAAATTAATCTGAAATTACTTTTTGCACGTAACCCCCAGCTGACCTTAATTTATTTTATTTATTTTTTAAAATTCACTTTGATGTTTTTGGTATACAATAAAAATCGGTTGAGCGTATGGAAAATATTTTATGTACTGTAAAAAAAAGTATTTTTTTTTTGTTTTGTTTTATATTCTCTTTGTAGTTGTATGTCCTTTATTATTATAATCCGATGACGAGTTTTAGGGGGTGGATGATAAAATATTTTCTTTGAAATTTTATAAAAATGAAAACAAAGTGCGTGGTGGAAATTTTGAACAGTATTCGTATATATATTTTTTATTTTTATCAAAATTATTCACTTTATATGATGATAAAACTAGAATAACCTATAATTATTTTATTACAAAGTGTTCATCATTTTTGTACATAGAGGTATAATTATCGTTTCAAAAGTAAATTAACAACATTTTTTGAAAGTGTTTATTGCTTTTTTTTATTTTTTCTATTTTTATTTTATTCTCAATATTTATTGAAAATTTGTATTAATTTTTAATTTGTAAATTTTAATTGCGAATTTGTTATTATAATAAGGATATTTCAAAGAGGAAAAAAAATCGTTTTATAAATTTAAGATATTTTTTCTTCCTTTTTTTTATTAGTAATTTCATTACAAGGGTGAAACTCGTTCGCTAGGGGTTATCAGAAACGTATCTTTTTTCCCCGCATACAGATAGAAAAGAAAGGAAAAGGTGTAGAAAATGAAAGTTCAACTAATCCCCCTTTAGTTCTTCGATCGGTCAAAATGAAAGTGAAATTAGACTCGTGTGCTACTTTAACTATTTTTATGCGTTGTCATTGAATTTATTTTAATACTAATGTTTGTTTATGAATGTAAGGACTGTTGCGTGAACTGTTTCAGCTCTTTCATCCGTGAAATATGCATATTTTATGAGTTCAAAGACCTAACGTTGGAATATCCCTCCCTTTATTTCTGGTATTTGCTTTTAGTATATTTTATATATAAATATAAACCAATTTTGTAACTCTTTTAACGTTTTTTGTCGTATTATTAGAAATTATTTTCAAAACTAAAATTATTTTTTTTCTATTTATATGTATATCTGGGTGATTCTTTATTAAGGGGTTACGCCACCCTGAAATTTTCAAAAAAATTTATTTTTTTTTTTGCTTAATTTCAAAGTTTATATTCTAACGAATATTTTGAGATGTCGCCGAAGACAATGTCTCACTAATTACAAAAGTTATGGTCATTAGAAGTCAGCGCGGTGGGGACGCGCCGAGAGCTGCTGGAAGCAGCGACTTTCTATTTTCGAATGGTCTAGGGGGCCCTTTCATGATTTAGGAAGGGTCCTTTTCATTGTATCCCTTCCATTCTTAAATAAAAAAAATTATGGCCCAGGAATTGCTGATTAAATAGTAAATTGAAAAATTTTCAAGTTATAATACACTAAAGTTCATTTTTTTCTTCTTTTGCGTTTTTCTCGAAACCACAATTTTCGAGACGGTGTACACGATAACTCAAAAACTATTCAATCGATTGACTTGAAAATAAATATACATCTTCCTAAATAGATTTTCCACAGAGTGACGTGGGATTTTTTTGATTGAATAATTTGAAAATTTTTTATCCAATTTTTTATACGGTAATTTTAGCCAAAAAAAAAATGTCAATTTTTGAAGTGCTTCCATTTGCGTAAAAAATTTTTTTTTTTAAAATGGCTTCGTCACTCTGTTCAAAATTTATCACTTTTTAAGAAAAATATTGTTTTACTTGTTTCTGACAAAAATTGAACTGCCACCCGTGCAGAAATTTTGACCGGGCCCAGGTCGGGGCCAGATCGGGACAAACCGGGCCCCGATCTGGCAACCCGACCTGGCCCCGGCCTGGTTGAAACACTAAAACCGACCGGGGCCATGTCACTTTGCCCGATCTGGCCGCCCTGTCGGGACCCGGTCGGGGCCATGGAATTTCCCCGGTCTTTTCGCTACCCAGGTAGAAATCTAATACTGACTGCATTTTATTATATTAAAGCTCGTTATTTGATTATTAAAGCATGAGGAGTATTTACTTCAATATTAATAATTATTATTAATATTTTTGTAGTAAATAAACTTTTATGAGTGTCATTAAAAATGTAAATAATTATTAGAATTGCTTTTATTGAACTAAGTTTTTAAAAAAAATATTTTTCTTATTTTCTTTC